AACCATCCTATTAGGTAGGTCTTTCAAATATGAACCTGGTATATAACAAGAGAGAAATGCTACCAGAACTTATAGAAAAGTGTTCGGGCAGTTAAATTCTTGTACTGATTAAATATGACTAGGGCTAGGAAGAAGAATGTTAGACAAGTCATGAGTCCAAGCCAATATGGTCAAGCCTTAAGCAAGAGACTATTAAGAGAGAGCATAAAGACACATGGCCCTAGGCAAGTAGCTTCTATTTCCTTGTCTGTAAAACAGGAGACGTGAGCAAGATCTTTAGGTTCCTTTCAGCTCTACCTGCTCTAAGATGACATTTATCAGAGCAATAGTTCCATGAAGTGATTAAAAACACAAGCTTCAAAATCTGACTGTCCTGTTTCCCATACCAGTCTGCTACTGGCTAGTTATCATTGGCTGAGTTACCTAATCTCTCTGAGCCTTAATTTTCTCATTCATAAAATGGGAACACTTAATTCCTAGGCCCTACAGCTAATCTGAGGGTTAACCAGTTAATCGCCAAGATATCTTGAATTTCATTTAAAAAGGTCCGCTGCTTATGGGGTACAAATGATTAAATTATATAAGTACACAGTAAAGAGCTTGCTAACCAAGTGTCTATGAAACAATAAACACTCATCAAGTGGTTGCTATTATTAATAAAATATTATTAGGATGATAGAAAAGGATAGGAATTGTAAGATCTTTCAAATTCTATCAAAACTATATAGTCTGAGATGACTATTTTCTATAAGAAGTAAAAGTATGTTTCTAGAATTTGTGACAATCAGGTTAGGAGAAAAAATGTTGATTTTAATATTTTGCTTAAATATTTAATAGTAGCAATGAGAAAAGCCGTTGATCCATGGTCATGGAAGAAACTAAAATAATTATGAGAAAATATTTTTTGCAACTTCTTGTCAATAAATTGTCAATCTAGATGAAATGCATGTTTTACTAGAAAAATATAACTTCGAAATTTGACAAAAAGAAGAAGAAAGCCAAACAAATTCATAATCACAGAAGATAAATATGATCAAAGATCTACCTCTAAAAATATTAGCAAGCCCAGATAATTTTGTGAGCACATTCTATAACTTTCAAAGAAATAATAGCATAGAAACTTTCTATTATTCAAACTATTCTAGAGTACCAAAAGAAAAAAAAAGGTGGAAATCTTCTCAATTAATCTTACAAAGCTAGACTAACCCTAACATCAAAACCACATAAAGACAGCACAAAGAAATAAAATTATGAACCAATATGACTTATACATATAGATTCTGAAATCATATAACAAAATAAATACTACTTGAATTTACCAAGCAATTAAAATAGTAACCAAATAGAGTTTATTCTAGAAATGTGGGGATGGTTCATTACAGGAAAATATAGAAATATAATTCATTACATTCATAAATTAAAAGATCAAAAACGACATGATTTTTATCATAAGAGCCTCCCAAAAAGCATTTGATAATTTCCATCATCATGCCTAAACATCACGAAGCAACAGAAAATACAAACGGGTAAAATACCAAAGACATTTCCATTACAACAGAAACAAAGAAGAGAAGGCCACTGTTCCCCAATTTTTTAATACTGTTTTGAGAGTCTAGCTAATGCAATAAGATAAGAAAAATAAAAGTGATGTAAATATTGGAAAAGAAAATATAAATTCTTATTATCTCAAATATTATGCTTGTATATTGTGACAAGAAATGTAACCTTAAAACAACTGTTAGCATTAATAACAGAGCCCAGTAGTGGAAAGGAATATGGAATAAGTAAATTTTTAAATCCATAGCTTCCCTTTATATTATCATAAGCAGGTTAAAAAAAAGTAGACATATAGTACCACTCACAAAAATGTTTAACACACAAGATTTATTCTTTCATTTAGCACTAAAATTTTTTCCTGATACAGGAGTACGGATTTGTTTTTTAGTCTTTGAAGTACTGATATATAAAGAAATAAAGGTCTCACTGTAAAATAGTCCATCCTATTACTCTACCTCAATGTGTAGTCATAAAATTATGTAAAGCTAAAATTAATCACAAAGAAAAAACTTGATGTTTTGAAGGTTGGTGGTTTCAACACAGAACCAGTTCATTTGATATTAAGTAGTCATTAAATCATGATATAGTCTATAGGTAATATGCTAAAAAAAATCTATTGTAGTAATGATGTTGCTAGAAAATAATGAAATTAAATCATCATTAAATCAGCAGAACTGAAATTTATTTTCTATTTATAACACGTTTGACATATTTGATTAACATTGAGTTCACTGTCATTTCAAATAATCTTCCTGCCACCCTGCAGGATTTGAGGTCTTGGTTTGTTAAGTATTCAGTGACAAGTCTGGGGAAAGGAAGTACAATGTAGGTAAGAGTACTTGGATTAAAATATATGAAAGGAAAAACCTACTATAGGATAATTTTATCAAAATACTCTCTAACTAAAATGATCTTTTGCTGTTTGCATCATCACAGAAATAAAAAGAAGCTATAGACTCTCCTGCAGCATTAACCTCAAAATTCTGATTCAGTCTTACTTTAGTAACAAACCAAACCAACTTGTTCGCACAATAAAAAAAATGTCTTAAAGCCCCATGGATCCTTTATGTCAAGGATAAGCATTTCTTTGGAAAATTAAAATAGGGAGAATACTATTATGTACAAGGAATGAAGTGCTATGATTAACATAAGAAATTTGTAATTTGCAAGGAAGTGGAATAATGTATATTTTCTAATGAAAAGATAATTAAAGACGGGTTTCTTCACATACACAGAAATTTCCTTAATGCTTTAGGGAGGTGATTAAGGTGTTCATTAAAAAATACTCAATCTCACCCTGGCCAGTTTGGCTCTGTGGTTGGAGCATTGGCCTGAGAACAGATGGGTTCTGTTCAATTCCAGGACGAGGGCACTTGCCTGGGTTGCAGGTTTGATCCCTAGGCACAAGTGGGAGGTGACCAATTGAGGTGTGTCGTTCCAGTCAATGCCAATCTTTCCCCTCCCCCTCTTTCCCCGCCCCTGCCCTCTCTCCTCCTCCTCCCTTTCTTCCACACTCTAAAATATCAATGAAAAAATATCCTTAGATCCTCAGGTGAGGTTTTAAAAAAAACCAACCCCCAACCTCTATATGATTCCAAAATTATTTTGTCAGGTTATTAATTCATTAAATAGAAATGTTGGGTACCTACTATGTACAAGGTATTTAGTGTGAGACAATAAAAAACACTGCATTGGAAAAGCGCATTTTTTTGGCATTATTACATCTCAAATGTAATACACATCATGTGGCTGAGAATTAATTGTATTTAACACATACAGAGCAAAATTCTGAGCAATCAAAAACAATTATACCCTTGAGCAACTCGATTTTTTAAATTACCCTCGCTATTCCCTTAAGTTGATTTCTACTCCACAATTCTTTTCCAGTTCTAAAATGAGATAAGAAGGAAATTTCCTAAGTAAGACCTAATACAAAAGAATAGAAATGTAAGAGAAGGGATATATTAGCTCTTGAATCCTTGTTTCCATTTGCTCTCAATAGTGCTTCTAATGTTCAATTTTCTCTTCAAAAATATACTGATTTAGAAGCATCAAACCAGTATATTGCTTAGCCCTCACTAAAGTTAGCAAAAAAATTGAAACTGAAAAAAAGAATATTAAAAATACTTATTCTAAGTTATATAATGTCATTCACCATAGTAATGATCTGATTCTTTGGAATAAGACTTTTTAAAATAAAGACCACCAACAGGTAGAAAATTTTCCTTTGCTGTCTTAAGACAATCATTGGGGGAGTTCTTACCAGCGTGTTTGTTCATTAACTTGAACGTTAATTCAAAGAAATGTTGCTTTGTCACCTCAATATTTTTTAGAAAAGTAATTTAATTGGGAAAAGAAAAAGGCCACATTACTTCTTCCTCCCTAGAAAAGAAAATGCATTCCTATTGCAACAAATATTTGACATTGACATCTTTTCTTTTGACTGGTTCATTATTCTCCATGTGATTCTCAAACTGCCATGCCTTTCACATTTTATTCACTTCATCAAGGAATAATTGAGTACCTGAATGTATTGAGTACCTTCCAGACCCAAAGGAAGATACAAAAGAAATATGACAGCCTCTGCCCTCCAGTATCCTCCCATCTCTTCCAGGCGGCGAGGTGAACACACAGTATCATAAAGCAATTTATATGAATAGTGCCAAAATCAATGTACAGGTACCATGCATTTCATATTTATGTAGAATTTCAGAGCTGCAGAAACACTTCCCTGTACTTAACCCTCAGGACAATCTTGTTACGTACACATTGTTAACCCCACTTTCCCAGTGAAGAATCTGAGAGAAGTTTAATCGCCGTCCCTCAATCAAATCGATCAAGTGAGAGAGTCAAGATTCAAGCCAGGATTTACTAATTCTAAGCCCAGTGCTTTCCAATATACTCAGTACAGGAAACCAAGGTTGGGGATCCTGAACAGGGCAACAGCTGGCCTTCTGCTAGAGGTGGAATTAAACCACACCCGATAGGATGTCAGGAAAGCATAAAGCCATCTGAGTGTCCAGCCAAATGTCCAAGTTAATTTTATTGTGAAAATATTTATACTTCCTTGTTATACATGCAGCACAACTTACCATTTCCTCAGTTTTAGTGCCTTTCCCTCCTCAGTAAGAGCTTTGCACTCAGAAATGGGGATGTCAAATAAAATAAAAGGCTGGCCTAAAGGATCATACAAATCTGAAATCACAGATATAAACCTTAAAGATCTGGTTTCCACTCATTCTTACACATTGTGTTCGTCCTCAGAACCGGAGAACGTAACTCGCCCATAGCATAGCTTTTCTAGCATTCTCGCTCCAAATAACTACTTATTTTAAAATGTCAGTGACCGACCCTACCGCACAAACCACAGGTTCACCCTAGTTTTGCCGCCTGACCCCAGCCTCTGCGCAGACACTTCCCCTCCCTCCCAATGGATACGATACCTAATTCAGGTTCTGCAGGTGCCGCCGCGGTGCTGTCATCAGCACCAACGGATAAAACGCGACCTTTGGACTCCGTCCTTGGTACCTCCCGCTGGGTACGCAGCGCAGTCCCAATCCCAGCAATGGGGCTCCCGGCTCAGGCACACAGCCGCGGGCAGCACAGGGTCCGAAGCAATGTCTCCGACAAGCAGAAGGATGCTGGGCGCCCGAGCGTGCATCACTGCGCCCCATACTCCTGCCAACTGCAGGGCACTTGGTCTGACAGCCAGCCCATCCCACCTCACAGGCAAGTCCGGCCCAGCCGGACCTGACGCAGGACCCGGATGAAGATCGTTGGCGGCAGCGGCGGTGACAGCAAAAAATAAGGCCACCCGCCCCCTGTGTCCATCGCCGCCAGCCTGAGACCTCCGAGACTGGACCGCAGAGAAGCGTTTCTATGGAAACCCCGAGGGGTCACGTGACTCGGTTGCACGCCCAATTGCCTCTTAGCTCTGGCCGCGGCACCGCCTAGTGCCCTCCCCCTGCCC